TAATTTGGTGACCAAAAAGTACCTATAAAGCAAAAGTATTTGCATTAAACAGTGCTGTGTTATCATATGCTCATTGTTATACGAGAAGAGGTTAAAAAATTGATGAAATGACCGCAACATACAGCCATTCTCCTCATTCAGCGGTCCATGGTTGCTTAGCAACCGTACCATAATCTGAGGAACTACGTTTCTTGGCGGAATGCTTGTTTATGCCGATTATTATTAATAATAACAAATTATTTTGGCTGCCGTCTTATAAAAGCAATAAGCCCCTTGAGGCCGTAAGTAACAGCGATTTTACGGCCTCGCGTGGCTTATTGTTTCAATAGAAGTTGTGCTGTTATTTCCGTTTAATGGCATTTTAAGGCTCGATAAAGAACAGAACGTATACATATTTTACAGTCATATTTTTATGACTATAACAACTGGTAAATGAATCTAGGCTGGCCAGAATACAAGCTAACTTAATGAACAAATAATACTTTTGCGCCAAAAATGTTTTAGATGAAAATGTCAACATACTTCACACAGTTACACAAGGACGTGCTGTTTGTCCCCATGAGGTCTATGGGAATCAGAATCACACACTATCGTTCTATTTAGAACCACCAGTTCTATATAGAACTATTTCATGCTTAAATGGTTCTTCGCAGGGTGAAATGGTTCTTCAGGTCGGTGGAGAATGTGTTGTATATGGTTTTGTATGGAACCTTTCTGAAAATGGTTCTATGTAGCACCTAAAAGCGTTCTTCTATTACAAGCTTGACATGGTAACAATAGCAGAACCCTTTTTGGTGTCATATACAACACATTGTCTGAAGAACCATTTCACCACACAGCAAACCATTTAAGCATGGAACGGTTCTAAATAGAACCTTTCCCTGTACTGAAGAACCATCTTTTTAATTGTGTACTTCAACAAAATGTCCAACAGGATTTTAGAAAAGGTTAAACACGAAGTAAACATGTTTATCGAAGAAAAATGCTGGAATATTCCTTTAAGAGCACTTTGCTCATTTTCCTCATCAGGGCCTGTGGCTGCCTGGGCCCAACACCCACAACACCTCCCCCTCATAGCAGCCTGCCGGCTCCAGCCCACACTGACAACTCCGAGCAAGGTGGGAAAAGCAATTTACTCCTCTCTCCCTTTTCCTGGAGTGTCAGCTTTGCTAAATAACTGGGCTGAAGTGTCTACCCCCACCAGCATGGCTAACAGGCCTGTACAGCAGGCAACTAGCTGGGCAGCTATAGAGGGGCTGTACTGCTTATATTACAGTGCAGTGTTTCCTTCCACCAGTCCTGTAGGTCCACTACACTGCACCTAGGTCAGGTCATTAGTTGAAAGGATCTGTTGACCAGACTTAAAAAGTGCTATATGTATTATAAACTCTTTCTCGCCTCTCACAGCAGTGCCTTCGTATCTGGAGTTCCAGGTTTGAATACTGGGACAGCCCCCTTCTGATGATGCATCTTGAAGGTGACAGCAAATGGACAGTAAGCACTTTGGGCAGGACACTTAGGACCGGGCTGTATTTTGATTTTTGGGTAGCTGGCTAAAAGTGTTCATACTAAAGGAAGCTGTAAAGCTAACTTTACTGCTTTTGGCTTATATCTGTGACCAAATCCCAGCAGCGATTTAATATTATACAACAGTTAGTTCCGGCCGATTTGGTCAGACTCTGAAGATGAGATGACACTAAATTCCCAAACTGTCATCACCACTGAGCAGCTTTTCAGTCGGCAGCTGTGACAGAAGAACCTAAACAATCTGGAATCAGCCAGAAATGAACCCAACACCATTTGCCAAACTAAATGGGCTGTAAGATGCTTTACAGACTGGCTGGAACAAAACAACATTAATACTGATCTGGCAAAAACTGACAAAACTGAGCTAAACTTGATATTGCGGCAGTTTTATGGCTCAGTCTGATTTGGTCAGACTCTGAAGATCAGACTACACGTTTGGCGAATGGTATTGGGTTCATTTCTGGCTGATTCCAGGTTGTTTAGCTGGTCTTCTGTCACAGCTGCCGACTGAAAAGCTGCTCAGTGGTGATGACAGTTTGGGAATTTAGTGTAAGGATCTGGAGAACGAACTGCCGGCTGTGCAGCGAGTGGGCGGGGCTCGTTACTGTGACGTAGCAACAAGCTGCTCGTTAAGGAACTATAATTTGGTGGAACTGCAAACATTAAAACATATTAAACGCCGCGTTCACGGCCCAGTTTATTAATTTATTACTTTATTTATTTAACTGTTGTATAAAAGCAATAGAACACTCGAGGGGTGTGTTATCGCCAATACTGCGACCAAATCACAGCCGTGATGTTATTTCACGATAACACACTCCCTCTCGGGTTCTACTGCTTAAAAAACACACTGCTCCCTTCTATTCCACCAGAATATGAATAATTCAATCATTGAGAGGTAAAGTAAGTTATTCAGAGTGGTTTGCTGTGAAATAATTCACTGTAAAGAAACTCTTTTTTTTTGTTTTTTTAAGTGGTGGTGATGGGAACCAGGAGTCACAATGTCTACAACACAAATATAGCCATTTTATTTGCTATCCAAAACCACCAGTGAACCAGATTTTTTAATAGCGATAGTTTAAAACAGTGCTAATTCCGAAAAAGAAAACGTTTTCTTTGAGGACAGTTTGGCCTAAAAACACCCTGCATGTACCTGACCACCATTAATGGATTTTAAAAAATATATTTTAGGCCAAAATCGTCTCAGAACTATTGTGAAACGATACAGCGTGTTTGTAACTATTTCATGTACTTCTTTTCTGTGAGGGAACTTATAGAGGCATTAAACGCTTCGGACGTCTGGTTCCTATCACCACCACTGTGAGCAATTCTGACTTGGTGAGCTTCTCTAGACTTTCACATCAAACCACTCTGAACGACTCCGTTCACGTCTTAGTGATCCTGTAGAAATTGTGAAAAACTGGCGAAGTTCCATTTCCAAACAGGTCAGCGGCGAGACTAGCATATCCTGAGCGAGGTAAGAGTTTCCAACAGGTGTATGACATAATTGCACAATGCATGCTGGGTATTGTAGTGAAAGCAAACAGATACAGCATGATTTAAAAACAATAAAGGTACAACCCATTAATGAAAGCTCACTTAAAATAAGCTAATTAATAATACATTAATAATCCAGTTTCACTTTAAAGAGCCACCCACGGATTCTCTAAGTAGATTCGTATGAAAGGTTTCCCCATCCATGCAGAGACGATGACGTGTTTCACACTTTATTCATAGAAAAGCACTGAAATTCAACACAAATCATATAAAATGGTAGTAGCATTACATAAATAGTAATAAATTTTTGTTTATAGACATTAGCTCAAGAGGTTGCACAAACAAAAAACAAAAAAAAATGTTGTTGAACTATACTTTTGTGGCAACAAATACTGGATACCTTTTCATAATTCAGTAGCACAGAGAGGCGACAAACACTTTCCCTTAAATTAAAAAAGAAAAAAAAAAAATCAAAGGATAAAAAAAAAGGAACAAAAATCAAACAGTAGATGAACTAGTGAACAATCTCTACCAGCGATTATTATTATTTTTTCCTTCTAAAATCTAGGGACAGATCAGAACACTGGTACAGTCAACACATATAGACACTTAAAGAGTATGGGAGAGAGAAAAAATAATAGAGCCACAGGAGTTTATTATTCTCTTCTTGCAATGCCGTCAGACCAGCTAAGTTGAGCTACAGAAAATGCTTGCTTGGTGGTTATTTATTTCTTTATTTATTTCTTTCTTTATTTATTTTTGTTGTTGTTCTATATAGCAGGCAGCGCTATGATCATCCTGCAGACTTCGGCTGAAAGAAAAGAAGGCAAAAATCTTTCCCTAACCTGCAAAAACATCCCCTCTGTTCTGTTCAAGAGGAGGAAAGAAAGGCTGCAGACGGTCGTTATCAAGATGGAGGCATTTGTTTAATGTGAATTTTGTGGCTGATGGTTCGGAAGAAGTTGAAGAACGCAACTGGGGGGGAAAAAAAAACAATATTTAAATAAAAAAAAGTGACCAACACTAAAACTATCAACAAAACAGAAGTCTCCTCATCACACGTAGCCATCCAAAACGGCATCTGTCCAAGTCTCGGCGAGGCGATGGGGCGTCCAAAGCTCCGGACAGACAGGAACCGCTCCCAGAGTCCTTCCCTTAGCCCAAATACAGAGATTTACAGTCTGAAAGTATGTCAGTTGACGCTAGGCGAAGGCAGAAAACCCAGAAAACCTAGAAAACCGTGCCACTTTGTGTGATGACATAGCTGGCAAACTCGAACACCCTCAACCCCAAGCTGTGGACAGTCGAAAGGGGTCATTTCTTTCCTTTTCTCTCTCTTTTTATTTCTGTACTCCACTGACGTTGGCGACACAGCCTCCTGAAAACGCACGCTGGATGCTTTGAGAGAAGACTATAAGGCTTGGAAAGTAAAAAGAGATGTACATAGGTCAGTCAAAAAGGCAAAAAAAGGTCCGTCCCAGTTTGCAGCAAACGTGCAGACTACCGACAGAAGTGTCCAATCAGAGCGTGTCCCCTGACCGCGCCGAAGCCGAACGAGGAATGACGACAACCCCCCCTCTTCAGGGCCGTGGGAGGGGAGTATAGAGCCAGGAGGGGGGGGTTAAAATCGTGAAGTGGTTCTGCATAGTCAGTTTATAAATGTTTGTCCTCCCCTTTTTTCTTTCAGTCTTTACACGCCATGCTATTTCTTGCAACACAAAAAAGAAAAGCATCCAAAAAAAGAGGATACAAACATAGCAGTAAATACAAAAAAGAAAAAAGAAAACTGTTCACAGGAGCACCTGAGAAATGTTTTTTTTTTTAAAGTCTTTCCTCTTAACTGCTGTCACATTCCCAGCCCGCGACAAATTCAAGTATCCAAAAAGAAAACAAAAAAAAACAAAATAAAAACAAAAAAAAAGTTATCATAAATAATTATAACTTTACAATTTTTTGAATTGACACTTTCATATTTACAATATCTTAAATGCTTATGCTACTATTTTTTTTTCCGTTTTGTTTCTTTAAGTGATTCCCTGAGAACTGAGTTGAGCGTCTCTTTTCTCGTTTATCCTTTCTTTTCTTTCCCGTTTCCTTCTGTTCAAAGCCGCAGAGTGCATTCTAAGTGTTGGGAAGGGGCGGCGGGTTATGGAATGTGGAAGAAATGACAATTTTTTCTCTTTTTTCCCCCCTTGCGTTTTCCAAATGGCTCTTTTTTTTAATCCTTTAACATAAATGCCTGCATGTCGGCAAATTTAGCTTTTACACAAGGTACAAGACGAATCGTGAGGGGGTGAGTATTAATGAAGTGCTTGTATAATAATGCTACTACAACAACTACTCACTGAGAAACGTGGCTGATAATGCTAACGCTAATGCTAGTCTCTGAATTGCTGTCCACCTTGCTGCTGCAAAGATGTTTTTCTAGCTAATCTCCATCCGCTGCATCTGTACTGTATGGTCGAAAAAGAACAGGAAGCCTGTTGACTTGAAGCCCATTTGTAACAGAAAACAATGGGCAGCTGCTTCTGCTGCACTTCTTCACCACACAATACAGACGCGGCTCACAGAGATTAGGTTTAAGCTTTTTCGCTCAGTCGTCTCGAAAAAGACAGCTTTTTTTTTTTTTGGTCGATTTCAGGTGGAGAAGAAGGAAACACCTTTTCTCTCTCTGATGCCGTGACAGCACCATTTCTCAGGTGTGGATTGTGGCTGATAGATTCAGCACCTTAAAATTCTCTTTCGTCTCTTTCTCGAAAGACCCCCCTCACTACGTCTTGAAAAAGAGAAAAGACAAACCAAGAGGAACGGACAGAGGGGAGAAGGGAGGGGCCTGATGCTTGTTGTTTGGCCGAGTCCTGGGGTAGGTGCGTGTTGGAGAATTCCTAGGATAAGATGATTAACACCTCTTTGCTCAGCTGCGTCACCCTACAGTTCTTTACCCTCAAAAAGTGAGGCCACTTCCAGACCGTTAAAGCTGTTCCTTAAATACGATCGAGGTATGACAGTAACACTGTGTGCGAGTGTTTCAGGAATGACCTTTTTTTGTTTTTTTGTTTTTTTTCTTTTTCTGAGTGTTCAAGCTCCTTCAAAAAAAACGAAACAAAACAAAAAACAAACAAAACAAAACAGTAAAACCCACTAATATCACCATGATGGAAAAGCTTTCCCAGGCTCAGAATATACACTGCCTGTCATTTGGTTTCTCTTTATGTGCCACTTCTACAATTTTTTTTTTTTAATCGCAATTTGATATCCGTCACAAACTAAAGCAAGCATAAGCCAAAATAAAAAGCATTATTAAGCTTGTTCTCCCCTCCACAGGTTTCTACCTGGTAGAATAAGTCAGTGAACAGTGGTTGTTCACAATTAAAAAAAAAAAATAAAAAAGAAACACACAAATCAAACAAAACAATGTATAAATTCACGAAAGGATGACAAAACAGAAGAATGAGAAGAAATAATGCCTTGAATTTAAATAAAACCGGAACAAGCAGATCCAAAAAGAGTTCTGTGCAAGGGCGTGGTCAACCGAAACGTTCCCGCACCAACATCATTAGTTTCTTCTTACCCTTGTAGATCTGCTTGAGGTTGTCTATGAACTGGGCGAACTGGATGTGGCCGTCCTGGGCCAGGAGGAAGGTTTCTCTGGCCTTGCTGAGGAACTCTATGAACTCGCCATAGTGGCGTGGGCTGATGTGGGTCAGCCGCGAGTGCGTGGTGTTGATGTAGGCGCTGATGGTGGCATCCAGCAGCTGCCTGAGGGGCGCCTTGTCCGTGCTCATGAGCTTGCCCGAGTTGCGGCGGCCGGGGATTCCGGCCAGGCCGGGGGCCGTCATGGTGCAGCGACGCAGAATGTCCGAGAGCACGGTGGCGCAGTGCACACTTTTGACCACTAGGGGGATGAGGGCGGCGAGCTCGTTTTTGCCCAGCGAGTGGCTCAGAGCGCAGGCCCACAAGACGTCATTAATGGCCGGGTGCGTGTCCTGGTTATAGGCCAGGTTGAGGTGGGCCATGGCCAGCGAGGCCAGCTTAAATGCCCTCAGCGGGTAGCCGCGGTGCTCCATGTAGCGCGCGATGGTGAAGAGCTGCGAGTAGCTCATGCCCGTGGAGGCGGCGTCGATGACGATCTGGTAGGCTGTCTCAAAGGCGATGTGGTCCTTCTCGCAGAGCGTCAGGGCCGAAAGCGCGCAGTTCTGAGGGTCCTTCATAGCGCACTGCAGGGCCAGCGTGCGGGCGCAGCCAGCCAGCTCCTCACGCTGAGGGTAGTCCAGGCTGAGCCGCAGCACCGTGTTATGAGACATCACCGTGGCGGCCACGATGCTCGTGGCTTCGGTCGGGGTGAAGAGGGTGTACCAGCTCTGCAGGATGCTGACCAGGGCTCGGAGGCCTGAGATGGGAGAGAAAGGATGATTAGAGCTACTCAGCTCAGCAGTGAAGTAATAACTATTATTAGTAATAAGGCTGTTCCCTCGAAGTTGTAGCATTTCTGGTTGTAGGGCATTGTTATATTAAACTGTAGCTGGCCATAATTAAGAAGCATAACAAAAAAACAATATTAGTAATTAATACCAATTACTGTCCTTAAATCACATCAGCACATAGTTGTTTTATGCTAACCTTAGCTTTTTTCTCACTTAACTGAAAAGTACCAGTAAAAATACATGTAAAAACACAGGAAATTTCTGAACAAGGAAAGATGTATTCAGACTTTTCACAGACTTTTGCTACGTACCGACTTCAGTAGCACAGGTAACAAGCCAGCGCACCATCTCTCTTCGTCTCCAGTTCAGAGTGGACAGAGTCATCCTCATCACCTACACAGAAACGTCAGGATGAGTTACAAAGAACAAAAGACCAGACACACCCAAAAAACAGAACATAAACACCAGCGCACACACCTGAAGGCCAAGCTCCAGGGCGACATTGAGCAGCGTGATGTCGGGTGGGTTATCTGCGGGGGTGGCGATTTTAAAGGCGTCCTGGGCCAGTTTGAAGATCAGTGAGGAGGAGTGAATGTTCTTCTGGATGGCCTCCAGAACCGTACGCAGCCTCAGCATGTCTCCTACTCAAAACACCAAACACGTTCACTCAGATTATAACTCAAACAATAGCATCGTTTATCAAGGAATTTACATTACACTTGCATTACATTATGTTGCATAAAGATGCTTAGAGTGAAAAACAGACAAAACCATAAAGTATATTTCAACAACATGGGCGATACAGTGCTGAGACCAAAATATCAATATTTTTTTTATTTGAAAATCACCAGCTTCCCTTTACATTGTGTCAAAACATTGTTTCTTCATTAACTTCTATTAAGAGTCAAGAACATTCGTTTCCTTCTTCTGTTAGGTCACCATTTTGGAGATCAGAGATTTATGTACTGTATTTTGTGCAAGCATTTGAGCATTACTCACCCTTGGCTGCAGTGAGCATGGTTGAAGCCAGCTCGCACTGCTGGGACTCCAGATGTCCGAGGGTGAACCAGCGGGGGTACCTGCTGGGTACGATGGAGATGCCGTGGTGGGGGTGACCCACGTCGCCTGAAGGGGCCGTGGACTCCAAAACAGGCAGCCTGCAATACATTATTATCAGTCATAATGGAAATCTTTACTATTCCATCCTTTACAACAGTCTTCATAAGGTCCAAACCAGGGCTATGTGTCATAAACCACTCAAGTAAGTCTTGGCTTTATGTGTTGACTAAACAGTTTGCACAACGCCAACTTGGATCAGTTTAAGCTTCAGTTACTTGTTAGCTGCATTGGCCTCATATTTCCAGTGCAAAACCAGAAGCAAAGTTCAAACACCAAACGTATCTTGGCTGATCGACTCAATCTGGTGTAACGGAGCAAATCATGTAAATTGCTTTAACCAAGAGATTCACATTCCTGTCCACTTTCATGTCATCTTCTTCCCCGACACACCAGATTCAACTCAGGATGGATGTGATAATTAGGTAACGAGCTAAAAACAGTTGCATTAAAAAAGGGAAACCCCTAAATTGTGCTCGGAATTGGAATAGGAGCTCCTGGACAAAACGATCTCAGTTCAGGCTATGACTGAACGGCCTTTGAAAACACCCAGACTATTCCAGCGCTCTGTGCTCCATTAGCTTTGTCTTTGTGCTGAGGCAGCAGATCTGCTGTTCTGTGCTCTGCTACCCATGTCTGGGCAAGCGTGCAGTGGGAGCTGCATTATTGATTGTGTATCAGTGAGGACCCTGAGGATCTGGCCTGGATTAATGACAGCACAGTAATAAAGGCCCACTGAGACTCTATAGGCTGCAGCCAGAGACAGCAGAGCCATGCAAGCACAGTCACGCATTAGACTGAGTGTGTGTGTGTGTGTGTAACGTACAGTACTGCAAAAAAATATATATATTTAAAGCTATTCATCTGGGCAGTAAGGATTTTTTTTTATAATGGTGAACAAATAAATCACCATTATAATAAATACATATAACCATTAATACTATTAATAGTAAGTGAGACTTTATATATGTCAGTGTGTTTGATTAACCAGTATTTATATATACATTTAAAGCTTATTTATAGTTACCATCCAATACCTAGTCAAGTTAAGCTTCATCGTATTAAATTGTTCATTAAATTAAACAGATTTTCCACCTATTTTTCAAATTCTGTGCATAATTAAAAGGTTAAAATGTAATGAAAGCTCGATGTGAAATGCTTTGTATTGAATAGAAATTTAGACTGTACAGTGGTGGTGATAAAAACTAGGAGCCACAGTGTCCAATACAAATATAGCCATTTCATTTACTATCTGTCTTCTGAGTGTATGTAATGTTGGTAATGGTAAATTAATGGTAAAACTGGAGTAGTGATTAGTGATTATTTTGGCCAACAACATCTCTGCCATGAATGAAGGGAAAAAAAAATGGGCCAAATCATCATCAAACATCAGTAAAACAACATCTCATCTCAGGAACTAGGCAATGTATTCAGAACCATTTAATGTAATAAAATGCAATAAGCATTTAGAGGCTTCAGACGTCTGGTTCCCATCACGACCACTGTAAACAATTATGACTATCTACATTCCTCTAGAATGCAGCACTTCACATCAAACCACTCTAAATGACTTTGTTAACATCTTAACGATTTAATTACGCAGGAATTACCCTTTAAATCAGGCGTGCTTCTCATGGAACTGAACAAATGTATGAGTGCACCAAGGAGAAGAGGACCCAAATCTGTGTTCTTCTAACCACACAACATAGACCTAACTGAAAACAAGGAACTTGTATTACTTTTGATTGCAGTTCTAATGTTACTGCCCAACTCTTACAGCCCAAGTAAATATCATTTAACAATCTTCTCAGGCGGCTCAAGACTTCCGCACTGTACTGTACATTTAGGCTTTTTTCTACACAACCCATTTACAGTGATTTCTATCCTCAGTGTTAACATCACATGGAATTTTTGTCACATTTTAAAAGTGCTCTCCACTCGCTGCCCTTGCTGGTCGCAGGATTACACAATTGAATGTTTTCCTTGCTTTAATGCACTTGATTCAACTCAACATGGGTGTGATAATTTGCACAGATGAGTTGAAACAGGTGCGCTGGGGGAGGGACACAGTGCTGTCCAGAGGAATGAAGTGGAAAGTGGGAACAGCAGAGAGAAAATCACACCACCCTTCCAAAAAAATTTAATTACGTCATTAATATTAAATGTTACTTATGAACACTTCACTATAGGGCAGTGTTCATACGCCTGCACAAGCACTTCATTTCAACTGACCAGGATCTACTCAAACATTTATTAACACAAATTCCAGTAGGCATTTGTCTTAAAGGCTGCATTTGCCAACATTAGGTTGTCATGACACTTTCTGGATCATTACATGACATAATACTGCCCAACAGTAGAGTGTTAACTTCGTTATTCTATATTAGCTCACACTATGTTGATTTATATACTATGAACTAGACACCAAAAGGCATTTTAGATTTTTTTTTCAAAATTTTGGGACAAAAAAGAAATCATGAAATGATTAAAGTCCTGTAATTTTCATATTTACACCCAAAATATCCTCACATTTGAAATATGAGGCATTCTGTATCTGCTGACTATCTGAATCATTTTATACATTTACTTACATACATTTATTTGCAAACTAATTGGTTTTATATTACTGAAAACAGTAAATCCAAACTTTTATATGTTCTCACCTCATGGCCCTCAGGCCGATCTTGTAGGCCAGGTCCGTGTCGTGGGGAAGGAGTGCTGTGAAGAGGTACTTGGCGAATGTGTGCATGGGTACACTTTCTCTGTGGATGACCTCGCCAAGGCCACTGAAAGGACCACCTGCACAAACACAAACACACATAGATCAGAACTCAACGTACGTCATCACTACAACCTCCTCTTCACTAAACAGTGCAAGTCTTACACTCTCCAGTGCACCACACTGGAAGTGTTCAGACAATGTTACCTGGCTAACAGAGAACACCTATAACACACCGTGCTTTACGTGACAGAACATGATGGCTGTTTCAGAGTCATGAACATATTTCTGTAATGCTGGCATACGTACTAGGTCCAGTTAATACTGTTCTAAATAGTGCCACAGTGCAGGGAATAGTGACACTTTCAGTTCCTTATAATAGTGCTCTATTCAGTGCACCTGAGTTTATAATGCAGGAAACAGTAATTAGGGGACCATTTCGGTTCTCTATAATAGCATTCTGTGTACTGCTCCTGATTTTATGCCGAGAACAATGATAAGGATGAGCGCTGGTCAGCTTAGAGCCATGTCAAATTGGTATGTTAGAAAAGACCCTCAGTCAGACTCTCAAAATGTCTCCATCCCTTTCTGACCAGAAGCGAACAGGAAAATATTAACAAGCACAAGTTCAGACGGCTCTTATGCGAGCTGTAGTGAATAATGCCAACAGAATGATGTCACAGAGCGGGAAATCTGTGGAAGACGTGGGTGTGTGTGTCTAAGACTAGAGAGAGTGAGGAGGGTGGCATGGGAAAGAAAATGGGGGGGATATGCAGGCCCAGGGGAGGAGTGTGGGAAAGGCAAAAGAAAAACAGGAGAGAGAGTGAGAGAGATAAAACAGCAGTGTAAAGGGAAGATGGCAGAGGAGAGTGCAGTGAAAAGAGCAGGAAGCACATAGAGAGTGTGAATTAGTGTGTTACAGTAAGTGATAGTGTGTGTGTGTGTGTGTGTGTGTGTGTGTGTGTGTGTGTGTGTGCAACAGGAGAAAGGGTTTGTACCTTTGTGTGTGCCATAACTGCACATTTTTAATGTGCAATTACTGTTAATTTGCTGTTATTTAAGAGTGTTCACTGCAAAGAATGTGTTAATTTCACTTAACAGAATTCCAACAAAAAGTAATCTGATCAGGGCGCTTAAACCTTTGCATTCGACTATATTGTATATATGCTGTACTGGAGAGTACAGCATCTGAAGAGATTGGACTGCGCATCCTTTATAAAGACAGTGTGTTCATACCTTCCAGTAGCAGTACAGCCTGTTTCCGGAGCGTCTGGACCAGCAGCTCGTCCAGCTCCAGCTCCTGCAGCTTGGCTACGATCTGCTCCTCGTTGCGGCAGACTTTATCCTGGGCATACAGTCCCTCCGGCATCAGCCTCTGCTGCCCCATGCCCATCAGCGCCACCTCCAGGGCCAGGGCTAGGTACGATTCCCCGCCGTCCGAGCAGCCCCACACAGGCACGTGCTGATACACTGGGGGTTTGGGCTCACCCGAATCTGCAAGGAAACACAAGTAACTGCTTAGTGACCACTTTCTTTGCTCTCCCAGTGACTCTACAGCACTGTTTTGGGTTAGCATTGAGATGCTAATACAAAGTGATCTAGTTGATCAGCCAACACTTGTTTGGTGTCAGAAGTTTGCTTCTTTAGTTTTGCACTGGAGCTACAAGCTAATATAGCTAACAAGTAATGGAAATCTTTATCCATCTATTAGCATCGTGCTAACTGCTTGCTTAAATCATTACAAACTGATTAGTTAAGTAGTCTCCAAAAGACTTGTTTATGTTTTTTGGACACTATAAAATTAGACAAAATCATGGACAAAGTTTAGTCTTTAAGATAGTGTTTTTATCCATGCAACAAAATTTTGTCCATTTTTAAAGATAACAGTATTTCATACAGTATCAGAACCATGTCAGTCTATTTGAGATCACTTAACTTTAGGTCTGAGGCAAGCGTGTGGTAAGTTTACATGATGCTAAAGGTACTGTTAGCTACACTCCGGTGCAAAACTAAAGCAAAAAGACACCAGGCTGCTCGGCTACATTAGAGGCAAACTGTGTAAATTATATTTGCCCCCAAACTATTCCTTTACACCACTTTTCGGACCCCCTGTTTGTGTTGGAGATTACACTGATTAGCCGCCAGTGGTAGGTACTACAGGTTTCCACTGAACTTCAATGATAATCACAGTAAACTACTGTAGACTAATAATGACTATTCTGTCGTCTGTGGTGTATCAAGACCGCGGTGTCACCCCAATCTGAATGCACATGTACGGGGGGGGGGCAAAAACAAAATCTGTCTGTGTGTCAATCCGTCTGTCTGATAAGAGACTCAGCTCTTAAATCCTGGCTAATGAACCCACCGGACTCTGTCTGAATCAGGGGTTCACCCTGAATGCCACCAGGCACGTGATTTCTCCTCAGCTGGGGGAGAAGCTTATAGTTCTCAGTAGGTGACTGACAAACCCAAGCTGCTGCTTAGGGGGAGTTTATTCACTTCTGTACTGCTATACCGCCCACCCCTTAGTCTGGAGATTCTGAACACACACATACATACGGGGTAGCTTACATTGCTTGTTAGCAACATTAGCCTCACACCTCCATTGCAAACCAATGGAGGGAATTCAAATGGATGAGCTAATGCAAACAAATGGAAAAGACACAATGCGAAGAGGTGTCAGGATGACCAGGGAGCAACTGTATAGAACGTTTTTCATATACTATACAAGAAAAGAGGGACACAAAGAGAAGGAAAACAGAAAGGGTGAGTAGAGGAGCAGAGAGTGAAAAATAAGGGAGTGAGTGATGGAGATGTTTGGACTACATGTTTCAGCTGCTGTTGTTGGTCCTGCTCAGCTAGCATTCTGACCTCTGGACGCTCCAATTGGACAAGCCCTAGGGCCCGCCCACACTGCCGCAAATGCCAGATGTTTCCAACTGTGTGATGGTGTCAAACAAAGGGCTCTCCAACACACACGCATGCTTGTTTTTATACATTCTCAAGACACTGGGACATGCAAATCCCATATACGCTATAGTACAAATATACGGTAATATGCCCCATATGTATACAATATATGCAAGAAAATATATTAAATATTGCATCACACTGTACTGCAATGCATAATGTGAAACTGTATTATATCACTGTATCGTGACTAGCATTTTAACTTGGAGCTAAAATATAGGCTTGTGGCTAAAGCATCTTCAAATACCGTACTTTTGCAATGTTGAACGCTCTAATAAACTGAAAATGGAAGCCACTCTACACTGGGGAAGCATCGAAAAATGTACAGAATCGAGACACGACAGTACCAAACCAAATAATTCATTTTGTGAACTGGTACATGCCTAACAAGTATCTATATGTAATAAGAACTTTCAAGGCTTAACTCTAAATCTAACCCCATCCGTAACCTCAGTAAGAAAAAAAGGGTTTTGTTCTTTCATTTAAAAAAAAAAATTAAACATTTATGAAGTCAGAATCATTTTGTTAGTCCTGTTTTCCCCTATAGTTTCCTACAAAGTCATGGTATTTCTTTCTTGAAAATGTCTGAAAACAAACACACAGATGCACACAGGATCACTCAAACCCAAAGAGAAAAAGAAGCACTACGACAAACACACACACACACACACACACACACACACACACACACACACACACAAACAGACCCAATCACCGTACCACTCAGCTGCATTATTCCACATCACAATAGCTCCCTGTTGGTGTCTCACAATAGAAACACAAAAGCCAACACTCTTCTTTTTTGGCGAGGACTGGGGAGGGATGTATAGAATGCAAATGCTGATTGAATTTATACGTTTTACTCCACACTGTGTGTTCAGAATGACTTCTCTGCTACAATAGCGCCCCCTCCCCCACCACCACCATCACTGCTGTAAAGACTAAGCGAACTGGATGAACCCCCAAACACACACACACACAGGCTAATCAGTAGGATCGAATAATGGCATGAGTGTCTTAAAGGGGAATTCAACCTATTTTCTAACAGAAGTAAATAGGTAAGATGTATAAAACATCATTCAGAGTCTTCTGAGTTTTTTATATGCAGTGTTGATAATGGTCAAATAAAGGCAGGGGGTGGTTTGCCTTAATTGCCCTAATTTGCCTTACAATGGATTTTAAAAACACATTTATGACCAAGACCTCCTCAAAACTACAATAAAACAATAAATCTGGCTATGTATTCATACCCATTTCACGTAATAACCTTCAGGTGAGGGGGCTTTTTAGAGGTATTAAACATTTTTGGACATCTGGTTCCTATCACCACCACTGTAAACAATGCCGACTCATTTCACATTAAATTGCTCTGAATGACTTTGTTTACATCTTAACCATTTAATTATCCAGAAATATTGGGGGGGGGAGAAAAATCGTGGAATTGCCCTTTAAGAGGTGCCCACCCCATAGACACCCACATCTCTCCCTTGTGGGTGAAAAACACACAATCAGCCAATAATAGTAGTACTGTACCTCCGGTGTCCATGGCGTTGTCATCTTCCACTCGACACGTCTCCGTGAGGGTGGCGAAAAGGCAGCCGATGGGGTCAAGGGGGTGGCCCACCCAGCCCTCCAGATTAGTAGTGCTGGTCATTCCCCTCTGCAGCAGCTCTGAACACACACATACATATATTTCACTGAATACTGGGTGATAAATGACTCAGTGCATTAGGAACTGATAATTAATTTAACAGCTGCTCCGTAAGTATGTATAGACCAGTGTTTCACAGTGCTGCACATTTTAATGTTTTCCCTGCTCTAATTCACCTGACATCATCAGCTCATTAACAAGCCCTTCATGAGGTTAAAATGGATGTGTTAGAGCAGAGAACACTACAAAATGTGCAGCGCGGATAGCGGCGGACAATATGACGCTTATTATCATGACGATTTCCGTCACATTATGTCACGATGTGCATATTGTGAAAACAAACTGCATTCGTCTTTACAAAAAGAGCATTATATTATATTTTAATGTAGCACTACTGGTGCTGTTTACGTCTATTCCAGAAATACTGTGATTTATACTGTGTATCAGGACAGGACAGAAGTGGAGTAAAGACTGTATGGAACAGTTTGAATATTGGCTTCTGAATAAGATGGACTGTCTCGCGTCCATGTGGACACGTCATGTGCAGTTGGCTACGTTTAATACAATAAACATACAATCATGTGCTTTATTTAATTTGCGGAGAAATCAGCTAAATAAATTGTATTATTTGATTGCCCCTTTCAAAAAACAAGTGCTCGAAGTCTATTTCTGGTCGGTCAAAATCCAGTCGTTTTTTTTTTTGTCCTAAAGCAGCACTGCAATCTTTGCACAACTGTAAACAAACCTCACCGGGGTTTGCACAGAGAGCAAACTACAAACGTCAAGAATACGTAAACAGCAGCCAGGGCAAACTGCTAAACTGATGACATTTAGAGTACGACACCTATCACACTCAGCTTCATACAAACACTCAAATGTCACATTTCATAGAGTAACAAAGCCAGACTAAATAAAGGCAGCGAAGGTTCAAACAAACTGAAAAGATCCTTATAAGAAGTTAAGGTGAGCCTCCTCAGTCTTTCAACAGAACATAATGGAGCTTTTGTCAGCTCTTGGCTACTATAGACATAGTATCTTGCCAAGCAGATAAAGACTGCAGTGAGGTCATGTTTTGAGCCGTGTGCTTTCGCATGTCTTACCTTTCTTCTGGTGTTTGTAAATGTCCAACTGCCGCTGCTGCTGAAGCCGAAGCGTGTTAATGATGGCTACGGCCAATCGCAGGGCCTCCCTTGGGTAACCGTGGGAACGCAGGGCGTCCACCCTGGCGCATGCTGTAGGCACATGGTCTAGAAGACAAGTAACATGACAGTCAGCATGCCAGTCTCTCTCTCTCTTGTTTTTTTGAGATATACCCTAACTGCTGGACCAGGCTTAAGCTGGGAAAATGGACCAAATCTTTTCAGAAGCTGCTTATTTTAGCTCCTCAATCCTGCACAAGTGGAATTAGAGCGCTTACAGCACTAAGAGTGGGATCCTTATAATCGCACACACGCAGATATATCCTTAAAAGTCCAGTGCGTCTAAGTAGCAAGAAAAACGCTGAGATCCTACTCACAGATGTATACTGTCTAGGACTGCAACTAACATTTATTTAGTCTACTATTATTTGATTAATTACTTAACTATTCTAACTATTATCATGCCTTCTTTGTTTCCCCTTCCCTGCTGCCTTAGCTCTGAGTCGAGGTTAAAATGGGTGAGAACAGAAGTGCAGTGCAAACAGGTGGCCAACATGACGACACTCATCATTTGATAAATTACATGACCTCGTGTCACAATGCTCTTTTCTTATCTTATTTGCACTGTTAAAAGTTAATTAGAGTGGATTTTTATTGTTAACTCGTGTACTTAAAACACAAAAGGGTTCTAGTGCTTTCTAGTGTTCATAAGCACACAACCAATTTCAGTGCAACACACCTTGTTCCGCAAGGTATATTGAACACTTCAGAGCATTGTGAAGCATTATAGCACTTTTGTTTTTAAGTAAATGTTGGCTTGACCAAAAAAAAAAATCCATTCTATATTCCTGACTAATTATTGCAGCCCTATTGATGTCTGTTTTTTACATTAAGACAGTTCTTAGAAACTGAAAACTGTGATGCGTGTGCGCCTGTCCAGACACGGACTAATGGTAGCAGAGCGACAGGTACTGTATCTTCAGTTTCATCCCACCCTTAGCTTGTGTTTCATTCTTACCTAGCCACAAAGGCAGGCCCTGGGGGTTAAACAGCAGGCTCTCTCCCTCTCTCTGATAAGCAGGAGACATGTAGAAATCGCTGCTTATGATTCTCTGCAGGTGGCTGTCCTGCCAGTGCAGGTCACATGCTTCCATAGCTCGGGTGAACACTGTCCGCCTGGGCCTGGCCAGTGAGTCTGAGAGACATGGACACATATAGGGGCAGGTTAGAGTGAGCACAGGGTAAAGGCACAGAAGAACTGCCGACGTAAACTCGGTAATGTTAATTTTAGGCTGCTGGCCGAGTTAACTTCTTGAATTCTAGATTCATTATTCCCATAATAATCTTAAAACTGCAAAGGTTTGGATTACCAGTTGGATTACGTTGGTGATTTTCTAAGCGAAAATAAGTTAACACATCCTCTACAGAGAACACGTTTCTGCACATTTGAATGCACAATTACTGTTTATTTGCTCTATATTAACATATTGGGAATAAAATAAAACAAAAAGTGGCCTGTGCAGAAGTTATGGCATATCCTTCCCTTATTTGCACTGTTAAAAGTTATGTTTTAGTTTTCTCCAATGTGTTAAAATCAGTAGAAACTGTGCTTTGAAATTTGCAAGAAAATGCTGTATTTAAATGAGGATGTGTTCACTTATTTTGTAATGTAATTTGACTGGGGTTGTTCAAACTTTTGCATATGACATTGTTCAGTAACGACTATGAAGCTAATATGTACTTTAAAAGGAACGAAGAACTAAAAAAATGGCCCACATATGGACCCTTAGTGGGTTTAAGGGAACACTCTAGTATTTTCCATCCTAGTTCATTAGCGTGAACGACAATTCATCGTTCAGAGACACTTCCCTGTACCTAGAAAAGAACAGAAACCATGACTCAAAGCAAACCTATCATAGAAACCATTTGGCAGGCACTGAAGCAAGAGACCACTGGCTACTATTATAAGTGTTTTCTGAAAAATGCTGAAGTTGTGGGTCTAAGTACAGTCTGAGATGTGTGCCAAAGGCTGACCTTGTGCCAGGTTGCTCTGGGGCAAGGCGTTGGTGATGTTAGGCAACTCGCTGCCATAGTTGCCATCCTCTAGGGGGCAGATGTCCATATCTCCCCATTTCTTCAGCTGCTTCAGCCATGCACTCTTCTCCTCACTCTTACAGTGTGGGTTCAACACAATACACACCCACAGTGCACCTGCAAGACAACATGACGAGTCAACGAGACGCCAGGGAGCAGATCTGCGAGAACATTACAAAGGAGTGTCTTGGAAAATGTGGGAAAGGAGATCAGGAGTGAAAGACAGCGTGACAAATGAAGAATAACCATAATTTTATTTCATTATTATAACTGAGTCATCTGTTGACCATCCTTCGATTAATCCATCTATTGCGCCTTTACTCTCGCTTTGCCCCTTCACAGCACGGCCATTATTCAAAGATTAAAGTGACAAGCTTTTCATCTTCCGTCTGGTGCAGTAATATTACCTCCATCACTTCCTGTACAGCACTGCAGCTGAACAGTAGAGAACTTTATAGAGCATTTTTGCTTTTTTTAACGTAACAAAATATAAACTTTTCTTGATGATTGTTCAACTTGTTGAGTAACTTTTGCAGCACCGAAAAAGAAAAAGGGGAATAACGTAAGGGAGAAAGAGAGAGAGAGAGAAGACAGACTGCACATCGGGAAGACAGAAAGAATAAGAGGCTGAGACAGAGCCCTTCGCTTCCTGCAGCTTTTAATGGGTCTTAAAGGTGAAATGGAAAAATGAGCGGCTGGCGTGTAATGGAGTAGGTGCTAGTGCATCACTGTCAGCATGTGTCAAACACCGGCCTGTGCGGAGCAGGAGATGTGGCAGGTGCAGGGCAGCCTGCTCTGCCTCCGCTCTTTTACAACTGTCAGCATCACACACACTGTCTCTCTGCTGAGAACAGATGGCTGGGGTTGCGTCTTTTTCCACCGCTGTCATTTACACCCTCGTCAAGCGGTGCTGATTGGTTGAAGCGCTAATAAGGCCCACAGCGCTGGCCAATTGGAAGGTCGACTGAAACCCTGACATGGCTGGTCTTTTATTAGGTGCTCCGTCAGCCTGGCAGGGCTGCAACTAAGGATGTAACTGTTTTGCGATTAAGAGGTAACCAACAAATAAACGACTGTTAAAAAAATGTTCATTCATTTTTTATCTTATTTCCAATAAAAGTTCCTGAATGGATAGGCGGTTTATCATTCAAGTTAAGGAACAGTTGTTTTTGTTAATCAGGATGGGGCTTCCAGAGCATGTGTGTGCGCGTTACAGCAGCTGTGGTCTCGAAGGAAAAAGGCTTGCAGAGCCCCGTTCTCAAACAAGCCTGCTCAGGAAGCACTCCCATCGACCCCCTTAAATGGCCTGATCAATAAAAGGCAGTCTGAAAGCCCATTGATCCCAAACCGTTCATGGCCTCTTGATAGAGGTGAGTGGTCAGACGTGTGCATTGACTTGCAGAATGCATGGACGCTGATGCAGCACTACAGGCCACACAGTCGTGCCTCTGTATGCATGTCTAATCTGCATGCTCCAAGCACATCCTGAAAGATCCGAAAAATGAGCAGGTGAGTTGACAGGAAAGTGGTTATTACCTCTGGTTGAGCACAATGGTGGAAGGAATATGCTGGTGGCACTAATGATGAAGTAAAGCTAGTGCTATAGGCATGACGAGTGTGACTGTTCCCGAATATTTATGTATTCTGAATGGTCCAATCAATTGGAACACAGTTACTAATACTACAGAGGGAGTACACAAAATTAGTGCACGGATGAATCATCAATATTTCTGTCTTGTTCATTAAGTGACAGGTTGTAAATTTAAAGTGTGAATATCTTCCAGTATCAATCTTGGTAAAGGTCTTTTTTGATATATATACACAGCTTTCAGGGGCACATCAATCCAAGAAACACAAATTTAGAGATAATGCCACTCTTCTTTATCCTTCATCCCCTGCTTGCAGTGTATCTCTGTGAGATTTTGGCTTCACGGGAAATGAAATCAACTGCTAAAAACATTGTTGAAAGCGACAGGGCTTCAATTTGGGCACTGCATGAGGAGAAAGTGTGAAAAAAGAAAAAAAAAAATGAGAGGAGAAGTGAGATGCTGAGGGTTCACGCTGTTTGCTGCGGAGGCCATAACTCACCCAGCTCATCCCACAGCTGCCGGCACTTGTCCGTCATGCCGGTGCCCTGCTGTCGCCATAGCGACAGGCGTGGATCGGCCATGAACTGTTCGGTGATGAGAGTGAGCATGCGCGCTCCATTCGAGTCCCGCATGCGCAACATCTCCCGCACCTGCAAGGACATTAAGAATGTATTACAAACGCTGCAATTACAGATCACTGTGAGGACATTCAGGTTTTAATAACTTAATCATTAATAACTTCAATACATCATGAGAATACATACTGGACCAATTACAAATTCCCTACACCATCATCAAATGGTCAACAGATCAATGTGTCGGTCCTAGTCTGGTAAGTACTGTGTGGTACTGGATCCCAAGTAACTGCAGTAGGCATAACTCCTACCTTAATGCTAGTGATGCTCTGTGCAATCTCTATGTGCACAGAGAGGACCCAAATTCTGCAGCGCAGTGCTAAGGTGGACATCTACACAGTGAACAGCACAGCCACAGCAGCAAGTGAAAAGAAGAGGCTGCTTGACATTTAATTAAAGCGCATTGATTTAAATTGGCCTCCTAGGATTTCATAGCCCCATAATTTATCACAATAGCATCTTCAGCACTGAGCGTCCCTTCCACTTACGGCTACTCACACACATAGGTTTGCTTTCAAGCAGTGTCAGAACCTTGCGGGGGTGGAGGGGGTCACACATAGGCCCATATACATACAATTTCACTAATATCAGGGACTTAATTATGTTAAGTCTATTCATATTCAGGTTCATGGGAAACCTGCGTTCACAATATGAACATAATGTTCTTGAATTACTGAAAGCAATAAACATTCCGATGAAGCTTATTTTTACTCATATGGACACAACAAAGCCTTCTGTAGAGTCAAATATGAGCAAAAATAAGAAAAGATTAATCGTTTAACTACAAAAAAGTGTGATTAATGACTATTTATTATTTTAATTGTTGGACAATCCAAAAAATAATGAAATGCCCCATCTAAACACCCACATGCACGCAGTCTCTCACCTTGGCAAACATAGAGTTAAGCTGTTTGCCTGAGCCGTAGTAGCCTCCCTGGGAGAGAAACTGCTTGACCTGCTCTCGGACCTGTTCCTCGTCCAGGTGCCAGCAGTTATCATCGTCTATACTGGCTCCTGCTGTGGGGTCCGGGGCCCCTAATACACAAACACACAGGCAAACACACAAAGTGTCAGGCAAAACGTACACTGGCAATGGTACTCTACTTTAGCAAGAAGTTTAAAGAGCACACAATATCAGGAACGTTATATACTGAATCACAGTCAAATACATGAGAACACGTTTCCAAAATTAATCTGGAAAAACAGACTATTATAAACAAGACGCTCACGCTCTGAAAGGTTTTATAGTCAGTGAGTGATTGAGTGAGTAAGAGACAGAGATGTTACTTAAACTGAATTCTGAAGTCACTCTCTCAGCAATATACACAGTAAAACTACCATTTATATCAAATGACTCAAAACACTTGATTTTGACCTTAAGAGCTGAAAAAATAATCTTGCGCAGAGTTTTCAGAAATGAAAGCTATTGACACGCGCGCTTCCCTACACTGTGCCTCTCTCTCTGGATAATACCACTCTCTCTGTGAAAAGCACACGCTGATTTGGAAATAAGAGAGGAGAGATGGAACGCATTAGAGATTTCATCACTTTATGTGGAGAATAACACTCCATTTCCAATACACCAATCCTCTTTAGGCTCATTCCTCATCCATTCCATAAGAAGACTTACCGGCACATTCTACTCAGCTGAAGCTCAGCTGACAAACACACACACACACGCATGTTTTATATAGTGTCAGGATGTGAGGTCATGCATACACTAGTGAGGAAAAGTCCCAGGGACCTAAGCAAACAGTTTTAAACCGTTTATTTAAGTGTGGATATAAATGTAAAAATACCATATAACATGAAATGGTTGAGATGTTGCGAGCTAGTGAGAAGAACAGGTTCAGTTCCACGTTCGACCCAGAAGAATAGATAAGACAAACCAAGTATTGGTAATAATACATACAAATAATACTGGACCGACTGCTACTTGCTGTACTAACCTCATTTATATTTATTCTAATTTTAGTGTTTTTTTTTAAACACAGAAATCCTGACTGCCCAACTGAATAGATTTTTCAGTGGTATTTTCTTAGACGCCTAAAAACTTTCCACATTACTGTACATACAGTTGTCTTTTATAATGTGTTAAAAATAAAAAATTAGAAAACCTTTAAAATTACTTTTAAAATTACAATTTGTTCAATTAACTTCATGAAAAATTCAAGATGTTTTTTACCATTTTGGGGATATGCGATGTATATATAAGCCCTTTACAAAGTCAGGAGCGTCTTGTTGGTCCTGCACGTTTTTCTCCCATTTTCTCTGGATACACATCCTCCCACACTCTGAATCACACTGAACCCCAGCAGTTACTCTTTATAGCCACGTGCTATCAGCTTTAAGCACAAATGCACACTGTACGTCATGTACTATATAAGGAACTGCTGTGTGCAGTTCGATACTCCTTGCAGACAACCGACTGTCCTTGGTGCTTGTTTTTGTGTATGATAAGAGGATCTGTGCTGAAATGGAGATTATATCTTAATAGGCTTGGCTGGACTTACAGGAGCAATAACAACTTGTGGATTAACCTCAGTGTAGTCATAAGCATTAAGATGGGATTAATATGCTGCAAGCATGTATACCTGCTGCAGAAGTACAAAGGGAGGAAAGAACGTACCTTCAGTGTTTAAAATCGAACTGTAACACAGCCTCAGCTCGTGTTAACCCTTAGAAATCCTAGTTATTGCTGGAGATAAAAGCATGGGTTAATTTTGTATTAATTATTTCTCATTGAAACAGGCACAGAAATTCTATTCAAGGCACAGATTCTAAACATGACGTGTGTACGTAGAGGAGGAGATATTTGTGATGTGAATTTGATCAAAAGTCTTCTTTGTGGGGAGAAAAAAAAACTTTTTTTTACATTTTTGACGTTTTTTTCAACGTAAATGGTGTAAACTCAACCCTGTCAATACAGAACAGAAAACAAACATAAATACAGATCTATATGTAATGATGTCCTTTTAAATAGTACAGCAAGAAGACTGTAAAACCTCCATAGACATTTATGAGAGTAGTTACAAGGCCCTTAGAACTGGTGACAGTGTAAAAAGCATTCCTTCTTATTGCCTTAAGAGTCAAACCAGATAGCAAGTATATACTGTACATAACACAGGCCTTTCCTATATGTACCTTTTGACACTATTGCACAGATTTAGGCCTAAGCTGGACGCTTTCCATTCCCCAGGTTCCACAATACTACAGCAGCTTCTTTCTCTGTCTTCCAGATAATTAAAATGAGTCCTTCAGCGTTTTTCCACCTGATCTCTATTTGTCTCATCTGTAGCACAGAACCAACTAGCATGGACGATTTCCATACAGTGAGAAAAAGAACAGAAAGGCTGTTGACTCGAAAGATAATTACAACAGAAGCCCATAGGTAGATCTGCTCTTTCACTAAACTCGATTACACGATTTTATGGAGTATAAAGAATTCCATGCAAACACTCACATTTGGTTTAAAGGGGAAGCCCATCAGCTTTTTTAGAATTCGTGCATAAATCGTCAACATGTAAACAAAGTCATTGTGTGCGCCGTTCTCGGGGAAAAAAAATAAATAAATTTGCAGTAATAGTGATAGGAACCAGATGTCTGAAGAGCTTTTTGGTTGCCTCTAAAAGCTCCCCTCACAAAAAGGTTCATGCATGGCATGTTTTTACCTCTTATTTTCAGACTTACTACTATTTTACCTTTATCAACATTACAGATTTAGAAACTCAGAAGACACTTGAAGGTTCACTGGTGAGCTAAAATGGCTACACTGTAGACTATATTTGTGCTGTAGACATCCTGACCCCTGGGGTTCACCACCACTGTAAAGAAATCTGAATTAGTAAGCTTCACTGCATCATACAGCAGTCTTTCATTACTTTGTTTACATCTCGATGATAAAACTATGCAGAGATTTAAAAATAATTGGTAGATTTCCACTTTAAGCTACGCAGTTAACCTATAATTTATTTTCTGTGAAATTCCCCTTAGTTCTCTCCCACTCCAGACCAGGGTAGGACATGGAGAGAGGTGCATTTCCTGGCTGGATAGTCATGCATTCTGCCCCATGGGCTGAGAAAGGCTTTAAATGTTCCACTGGAGGAGGAGAGAGGGAAGGAAGAGAGAAGACACATCTGCTTTTCCTCACCTATCCACTTTCAGTCTAATTCAGGGACTTCTAAAGCTTCGGAACACTAACATAAACCATCCAGGCATATTTCAGGGTAAAGAGGTTTACTTGGCGCAGATAAAAACCAATGCAGGTCCCCAACAGTGTCTTAAAACACATCATCGTAAGACGGTGGACTGAATGCCATTTCCAATACTTAAAACGTTAGCAGCGTGATTCACTTGGGAAACACGACAGAGGAAGCTGTACAGACACAGCAGTGAGGTTACTGGAATATACAGATATCTGAACTCATCTTAGTCATAGAGTATTTTAATAAGGCACGTGTAGTTATCTAGTTATGCATATTATCGTGCGAGGTTGGCAAGTCTATCGATGTTAAAGGGCTGAAAATTCATCTATGAATAGCCAAACTGGTTCAAAAGCCCATCTCTCACCGTGCACTTGGTTGATCTCCGAGTTGGAGGACAGGATTTCGTCAGCCAGTTTCTGAGCGGTGGGCAGAACCTCTGTGTGATGGGCCGTGATCAAATACTGCACCAGCTTCTGCAACTGGTCCCGGTTCATCTGGAAGAGCGTCTCGGAGATGGGCAGCCTTAGCTTGACCTGCTCAGGCTTGCGTATGCGGTAGAGTGATAGCGCCACCACGTGGGCACAGTAGAAAATGTCGCGGTTGCCGCAGCCACATGTCACCGAGGTGATTTTGCAGCGGTCGAAGCTGATGGCCACTCGGTGCGTCGTCTCTGGCTCTGACTGAGTGGCCGGTTCGGTGACCGTCCCACTGAGATGGAAACCTGGAGAGAAACAGAGAGGGGGGGGAAAGGGTTAGCATAAGCAATAGGGGATGCCAATCAAGGCATATTTTAATAGATTGGCAATAATAAGCCCAACTGACTTTTACTTCACAGTGCTTACGGTTTAGCAGTTACCACGCGGTCTGCAGTGGAAGTGGAAATAACAACAGCCACTCGTAATGCTGCCAGCTGCAGTTAAGTTAGTCACTTTTATTATAAAAGTTATCAAAAAACAAACTGAAGTGACATTAAAAAGAAAGTCAGATAAGGACTGGGTGGGGTAAAAAGACACGACATCCCTTCTAAGTAACCATACTCAAATAAAAGGAGACGCTCTGTAAGTAAATGTTATTCTAGTGTACACTCTGTGAAAGTAAGACATTGTAAGTCAAGCTGAGGGTGACCAGGGAAGCCTGCAATCGGAGACAAGTGGTTACCAGAACCCTCCCTGATGGCCAGATAGTAAAAGCATACAGCAGTTACCAAACTAGCAATGAAGCCCAACGGAGCTTTGGCAGCCATAAAATAAGATTAAGAAAGCAAACACCATTCTGAGCCGTCCAGAATACTCTTTGCTGTAAGAGGTGTTTGATTCTGGAGAGAACCAACTAGACCTTGGATTGTTGAGGATATGGTGAAGATGCTCCGGAAAGCCGTGTTGATGGAACTTGTGAAGGCTGTGTCTAACGTTTTCTATACGTATGAATAAACAAACAGTTCCTGAAAGGTTTGTGGCTTGAACGTACGGCCCTTCATATATGCACGTTTAATTTAGAAATACGGTTTCTTTGAAGAACAATGAAATAAAAAGCTTCTACGGCGCCACTTCAAAGAAACTAATGTTTTTAAGAGTGTAAGCGATGGTGGTATTTTAGTTGTTTTAACCAATACTTGTTGATTCTTCAGATTATCTTTCAGATTGTTTTTCCCTCCAGGGACGATTGAGCTCAATGAATAACTGAATAAATGAGTGAATGAATGGCCATCCAGTCCTGGCCTGTGCACCCCACCAAAATATACAGGGATATCACAGTGGGGACAGCCAAAAGAGCAGACAGCCTGCTATCCACTCTCACTGCCCTTTGACCTTACTCTTCACAGGGCTGGGGCTGTGAATCCCTCCTTGAGGGGAGCCTATCGGAGTCCAGAGCCACTGAGGGGCTGTAATACTGGGCCTGATGGTAGGTGGTGCTATGATGTCTCACCCTGAAACATATCTCAGAGGACCTAGGGGTTAACGTTTGGGGCAGCTATGATTCTGTGAAGGGGCTGGGATAAGATATGGGTGCATGTATGTGTGTTTTTGTACGTTTTCAGGATAAAAAAGTACAACTATGTAAGAAAACAAAAGAAAACGAGTAACCTACAATGTCAAGATAAACAAAATGTGCTTTTCACAGTAGTTCAAAGTTTAATTTCATTCATATTTTAAAAGCAAAACAATTTCCTTTTAGTTACTGAGATAAAGGCAAGGCTTGTTTCTTACACGTTATAATGCATCATAAAAGCATATTATACGTGGCTATGAATATATAAACAGCAATAAATGTACACTTTACAGCCAGGTTTATTGTGCACTATGAGTTGTTATACTGCATTATAAATGGTGTTCAAAACACCTCATGTTGTCAGTACCAAAGAAACCAACCACATAAAGCATTATGCCCTGCCTACACACAAACACACGCTGAGCCATGCCATCACTGCCACGGCTAAACTAAACCTGCCTTTAGTCTAAAATATGCTGAATTTTACTTACAGCCTCCGAACACAACTCGTCTCTTACAAAAGGTTTTATTATTAGGTCATATCTCTCAATAATAATCTGAATTCATAATAAAGAAGTCATTTAAAATATAATATATATTAAACATGGCCACAAAAATTTCATATATATTGGACAAACATATGCCCCCATTTCTTGACAGGGTATAAAAGGAAACCTGCGTTCGGGTTCACAGCCAATAGGCAAGCTCCTTCCTGACTCTCACCGGTAAAATATTAATGATGGTGGCCTGGAGAATGGGGGCTGGGCGATGGGGATTACTGTATCACACTACACCATGGCAACCCACACTGCTAACAACACCCAGGAGTTGGATTACTGTAATGCTGAGACGGGCAGGAGAGAGGTTTCACATCTCCAGCATCTGGAGTGTGTTATAAACATCCCAGTACTGACTCACAGGCAGAGTAGGGGGCACAGCTTAACAGAGCACAGCCTCGGGAGTCCCAATTCAAGCTGTTGGTACACAGGATTCACCCTATGAACCGTATTCTGTTCATCACCAAGGCTCAACATCACCCACAGGACAGATTTAACAGCAAACCAGGACAGATGTTAATAATGTCTGGAATCACTATTCAAATATTTGTAAAACTGCCAAACTGAAATCTAAATTTTCAGCTTTAATTTGGTCCTTTCAAAGCTCCTTTTCACTTCTCTCCTGGTTCTTTTCTTCTTCTGTCGTTTAACGGGTGATGTTAGCCTGCCTGTGAGATCACAGAGACCACCTCTTTTGGTCAGACCAAACTTCGCTCTATGGTCTGAGGAGCCTTTCACACCTGCTATTTTGGTTCGGATCAAACCGAAAAGCCTGACGTTCCGGACCGAACAAGGCAGGTGTGAAAGCACCCTAAGCATTTAACTTAGGATTAATACTCAAGATGTTTTACGCACATCACAGACCTTTTTTGGCTAAGAATTACAGCATATACCTTCCACGCTAAAATGCATCATAAAGGACATTATAAATGTGGCTATGAATACATAAATACCAGTAAATGTATAACACATTGAGGCCGAGAAGCCGAATGCAGTGTACCAGACCATCAGTTCACAAGGTCAGCAATAGGGGGTTAAACATCTGTAATGTATATACAGAATATAATTATCATTAAAACTGCAACTCTTTGAAAGTTGCATGCTTTCAAACTGCAATTTCAACAAAAAAAGCGATAAATCATTCATCCTTCAAATGGTCAACTTTTGGTCAAAAAAAAAAGCAAAACGTTGCTGATGAGTAACTATTATTAATATTATTGCTCAGCGACTGCAAACTCTTCATATGGTACCGTACAAATTACAAACATACATGCACCATTAATTCTCTGGTTAGGCCAGCATGACTGGGCTGTCTAATAAGCACGAGCGAAAGTCGGCTGTTGCCGTGCCAAATCCCACAAAAGGCTTTTCCAGACGAGTTCTTCTGAGAAAGGCGGACCCCGCCAACCCCTCCTTGAGAGTTTTCCTTCCCCCCCCCACCCCCAGAAAAGAAATCCGTAGTCCAATTTACTGCCAAACGCTTTCAGGCAAAGCCAGCAGCACAGAGCCACCTGATTAAGGCGAGTTTATGGTGATGTCTGTTTCCATTTTGATAAAAGACAACAAAAAAATAAATAAATACAAAAAAAAGATGCCAGAGAGAGAGAGGGGGGGTGGGGGGGGGGGGCTTCTATCCTATGTGCTGCAAATGACTAGCGCCACAATGGCGAGTTTAAAGCAGATTTGCTGCACAGAAACACACGAGACAAGCGGCGAGGGTGTTTACGCAGGCCGCTGTCCTTTTTTGGATAATCTATTAGCAATTTAGCTAGTCATAGTCATTGTGTCGCACGGTGAAGAGCCGGCTGTGCTAAAAGAGCGAGTGCACTGATGGAAACACAACATAATGGCAGGATTCCTGCAGCAGGCGTTTCGCTGCCAAACAGCTTTTCTCCTCAAAAGGACGCTGGTTTAACGCAAAGGCCGAGGCATATTTGCAAGGCCAACATCGAAATGCCTCGCCTACTGCAGTTTATGCAAACTTCTGGAGTGTTTTACATTTCAAAGTGCCTTTGGCATTCGGCATGGACTGAGACTTCGAGCCTCTGCTATGAGATCACGGTGACTGGACTGCAAAACAAAGCCTCGAGCAATATACTGCAGAGTTGTTTGTTAATCGTTATCACGATAACGGTCTTCGCAGTACTGACAGAGGGTTGTAATATGCAAATGAGCTCTGTTATCAATAACAATGTTTTTTTTGTTTTTTTTTAAACTGCTCTGAGCATTTTGACCAATCACAGATGATCCAGATAAGTTTGGATGAAACAAAGCATCACATGATCAACCAACAAATCATTATGGCCAAAACAATGCAGGCCGTTTTTTAACCACGTCAAATTATTGATTCCACTCGTGTGTTTTCAGGATAATGGAAATCACAATCATGATATGTAGCAATATAAACTGCAATTCTGTCCATACCGTGCTGTCCTAATACACTGCAACGTCCCCGAAACACTTCAGTACAGGACCGGCTTCATTATCAATGCAGTATGTATAGTAAATAAGTTGTTAAGCATGACTACAACATGACACAGTGAACTGCTTTAGTACCTCCAACATTTCACTGATATCAGTTTATGGTGTAAATAAGTTATTTTAAACTAAATATCTCAGTCAGAAATGTTAATATTACTAATAGTGAATAAAAGTGAACAGCCATCATATCCATTTGCATTAAGCAAATGACATCACACTCCTAGTTTTCATTCACTGTTTAGCCATGTTAGCATGGTTAGAGGAACTACCTCTAAGCTTCATGGCTTTACATTAATTATTACTTTTACAGCTTTATACTAAATATTTTACTATTTATTTTAAGACAACAGCCTCAGTTTGTTAAATATCAATGCACAGGATGAATCCATCGTTAGCAAAGCACTCAAGAAAGTATCTGCCGGTTTGTCCGCAGCTTTTCTACTTGTAGTTCAGTGACCAACACCCACACACCAGGCTTATGAATATGGAACTGTACAGTACCACACCGCACTGCACTGCCCACTACAACCCCATATTCTGCATTAGCGGTCAGAGAAAAGGCACTAATCTAAAGGTTATAAAAGAGAAAAAGTGCTTTAAGAATAATCACCACCCCTCCTTCTCTCCCTGTCCGCCTCTACCACGCTGATGCTGCTCCTCTAAACTGCTGTTTATCAGATGTGCTGAGGGATGA